TGTGGTCCACACAGTCAAAGGCTTTTGCATAGTCAGTGAAGCAGAAGTTGATATTTTTCTGGAACTCTCTGGCTTTCTCCATAATCCAGCGCAAGTTAGCAATCTGGTCTCGAGTTCCTCTGCCTCTTCGGAATCCAGCTTGTACTTCTGGGAGTTCTCGGTCCACATACTGCTGAACCCTACCTTGTAGGATTTTGAGCATAACCTTACTAGCGTGTGAAAATGAGTAGAGTGGCATAATTTGCTGCAGTCCTAGTTTTAATGTAACAACCACATACCCCGTAGATGCCTGGCATCAGTGATTTATTCGATGCTCCATTCTGAAGGTAGCAAGAAGCAGCAGCAACAGCAAAGCTCTGCCTGTGAGCAAATGGAACATGTGTGTGATCCACTGCTACTCCTATTTATTTGTTGTAAGGGTGGACCAGCAAGCCAATGGAACCACATGCATAACCAACACCATGCCAAACCCAACTGCTTCCGCAAGGACCCTGATCTCAATATGCACCCGCTCCTCTTCAGCCTTGGAAAACCGCTTTCTGTGGAGGTGAGTAAATGAGTGATCTCCAGTGGGTGTATGCCAAAGAGACAGGTTGAGTGAATATGCCCTGCCCCTGCTGAGCAATCTGCTTTTAAGGAAATGAAAGAAAAATGCCCTCTTTAGAAGATAGAATTCCTCTTCCTTCTACTGTCAATTATGCTGCCAATGGATGGTTTCCACCATTTCATTAATTCCTCATTATATTTTAATTTCTTACCTCTCATCTAAAGATGGCATCCTTCCTATTAAAATCTTTCTGGAATGGCTTGTCTTCTCCAAGGAAAGCCCACCTGTGTGAGGTACATCAGAAGCTGCTCTTACATTCCTATGTGAGATCAGAGCACAGGTATAATATTTCTACTAGCTCTTGATACGTGTGCTCCATTCCTGTTACTGGAGCACAGTACAAGGCTCTATCCTGATCTGGCTGTCAGGAGAATAAATAATCAGAAGTCAGCAGTCAGAGCACTATATCTTTTGACCTTTTTGTTTTTTAGAATCTCTGCTTGTTCCTCAATCTGAGTCTTCTCCATTGTTCTCCATGCTGTGTGATTAATGGATGGAAATGTTTGCTCTGATTTTCCAAATAGGGGTGAACAAATGGGCATTCTCCCTTTTAAATTACTTCTGGGCTAATTTATTCAGCTTAGTGATTTATGTCAGTTAGGACAGATTTAGGTCAAAGCATTAAGATGTTCAGGGTCTTGCCTTTAAATGCAAGGTGCGCCAGGATTTCCTCTCATTTCCAAAACGTCCTGCCATGTCTTCAAGTAGCAGCTTGGTGGCTCTCTGCAGTTCAGCCCCATTCCTTGGACAGAAAACTTTTGGGAATAACCCTTACATCACGATGCAGTGCCATTTGCAAGGAGAACTTTGAGAGGGGAGGGAAAAGATGGCTGTTCCCATTTCCCTCAAGAAAATTCTCCTGCAAACAATATCATGACTTAAGAGTTATACCCAAGGGCTTTCTGTCTTTGGAACACTTGCTGGGCTGCCAGGAGCTGCTCCTTAATGCCTTGGCAAGGCTTTCAGAGAAGTGGGGTGGCGGGATTTAAAAAACAAACACTCTAGGGCACCTTGTACTTAAGGAATTATGTCCCAGACCAAATTGCTGAATATTCCCCCATCTTTGTAAGGGAAGCTGAATCGTCCCAGAGACCTTCTCAACCAGAGAAATCAGGAGGGAAATATTTGGTCTTCCTTACATTTAAATATGTATCTTACTTAAAAATGTATATGCAAGGCCTAAATCCATATTTTAATATGTTTAGACTACTAAGAACTGTGTCACGCCATTTAGAGACAGTCCCATCTGGTAGGAAGTGACATTCTTATCCCACTCCTCAGACTTGAGGTGTGAATCAGGCCCAGTACACAATGAAAACTGACAACTGAACACTGATATGGAGTTTATAGAAGCCATGTTTAAGTGTTCTCACATTATAAGCACAAGGAGGAATGCAAAACTGTGCTACAGTTCCAGCCACTCCATTCATGACCTTCCCCTCCCTACAAGGCCATTTGGAAGCAGAAATGTAACTGTATTCCCATGGGTGTGGTTGTGCAGACTTACCTGGGGTTAGGATGATCTGGCTTCTCCTGATCACATGGAGCTCTGGAGCTCTGTTCAGATGCACATGGTCACACGTCTGCTTCAGACCACCCTGTACATTTTTGAGAGGAGCACCCATAGGGTGTTTTGCTATTCCTCTCCACACAGCAGCGCAGGAATGGCTGGATAGGGTTAGAGTCCCTTCTTTTACTGTTGTCTTCTGCTCTCCATTTGCAGCTTGGAAAGAAGAAGAAGAAGTACATGCCTTACCAGTACCAGCACAAATATTTCTGCCGTGAGTGTGTCTGACTTTTTGAACTGGAGACTGAATGTGGAAGTGGCCACCTTCCATAAGGCTTTGCCTATTGGTGGATTAGGCCAACAGCTTATAGTGGGGCTGCTGATAGGCCTTCTTTGGGATGAGCATTAGATGGTTTTGGGGGGGATGGGGTTCTGTAGCTGTCCAGAGGACTGTTGTTTAGGGGGTGCCGCTGCTCCTGGGTGCTTTTGCATTCTTTGAGTCTTTGCGGCTTGCAATTGAAGAAAGGTGCTCACATTTGCCTTTTTCTTCCTTTATCTTTTCACCTCAGTCTTGGCCCCGCTGACATTCACAATTTATGTCCAGCTAATTATATTCCGCTACACAATTTTAAGGAAAAAATGGATGGTGAGTAACTTGTAGAATTGCAATAGCTCCTCCTCTAGGTAGCCATAGCAGGAGACTAATGTATGTCAAAGCAGAACATAAATATATTGGAGTATGACTTCAAATAACCACCTGACATACCTTGGCCAGAATCTTACCTGTGTTTATGTAAGGTCCATGTAATTTGCCAGCTGCAATTGCAGCTAATTGACAAGGCATTGGGACTTATCTCAGCTGTGCAACTGGGTGCACAGCGAGGTGTGCAACCAAGACATGCCCTGGCATTCTGTCAGTTAGCCACAATTAGCTGTGGTAAAAAGAAAAGCTAGCAGGGCAATATTTGGTGAGTCTGTGGAGGAAGGAGTTCCACAGTAATGTTTAAGCTACCCAGACAGGATACTGCTCAGTACCTGAGATCATGCAGAAAACATCGCTGAGCAGGGTCAGAACACAAGAGATGCGAAACGTGTTTAATTGATAAAACTTAACGAAACTATTTGCAATACCTGCTTTTTCTGGACTGGTATAAAACATTAAGTATAGTTTGACCTGCCAAGTGTGTTAGGAGTGTTGTTTGTTGTTATCCAACCCTTTCCTCAACACTGTTTTTCTTGGCAGGAGCTCGCTTTCATTCTGGCCTACAACCTTCGCGTCTGTCTCATGTATGTTCCTTTCATGGGATTTAAGAGCTTCATGGCATTCTACTGGTTGGCCAGGTAATAGTTCTTATGCAGAACTTTCTTCTGACAGTACAAGCTGATTCCTTTCTGTGTGAAATCTATTAGACCAGCCTGAACAAGGTTCTGGTGTGGAAATAGGCCAAGAAGAAAATACCCTAAGAATCACAAGACAGTGATTATTCGAAACTGGTGGTCTAGAGGAGGTTACTCCCTACTGATTTTGATCTAGTGGTTTCCAAAGAAGATGCAAGAGTCCTGGGCTTGGCATGTTTTGAAACATTTAGCCACACACAGGTAGCCAGTCTCCACCTGCTGCAGACTTCAGTGGTGAGTGATCAATTGGATACCTGAGGTGGACCTTTTCAGAGAAAAGAAAAGTTATGTTTCATGATTACACCTCTCTGAACATCCCAGTCACCATGGCCCACTGGCAAATATTACAAGGTGGTAGGCTTTCCTTCACTGGAGGTTTTTAAACAGGAGTAGGATGATTTTAGCTTTGGAATTTAGCAGGTGTGGACTGGATGATCTGAGGTTCCCTTTCAGCTCTACAGTTCTATGATTTATACCATTCTCTGAAGAAGAATAGAATGTTTCGCCCCCTTGATTTCTGCAGTTTGTCTTCACATCTGCATTTTTTTCCCCTCATATCAGATGACAGCATGTCACTCATGGAGGATTCCTTTAGTATTCTAGCAGATCTATAATGGTGGGGTTTTTTTTGCCATCTGTGAAAATTCATTCTATAGCTTAATGGTTTAGGTATCTGGCTGCAAAGGTTAGGAGTTTGATTCTCCGCTGACCCTCTCAAGAGACGAGCCAGCACAGATAGCCTCAGGCAAACTGTATCATCCCAGATAAAGAGAGTGGTAAACCAACCCTTAATACTCTGTAGCAAGAAACCCCTGGAAAGGGTTGTCATAAATTGGAATCGACTTGATGGCATATAGTTATAATCATTAAACACCGGCAAAAGTTGACAGCCATTTCATGCAATCATTAACAAAAGTTCCGAGGTGTGATGAGATACCATGGATTTGCACCAACAATGGGTATGGCCATGATATACATTTATCCCCATTTCATCCTGCAAACAACTCTGTAAGGTACACTTGGCTCTGAAAAATGCTATCATATCTTCCCTCAGTCTCCTTTTCTCAGGGTGAAACATGCTCAGCAATTCCAGTCTTTCCTCATAAGGCTTGGTTTCCAGCCCCTTGATCCATCCTTGTTGCCCTCCTCTGGACTTCTTCCAATTTGTTGGCATCCTTCTTGATGTGCATTGGGCAGAACTGGACACAGTACTCGAGATGAGGCCTGATCAGTGCCGAATAGATGGGAACTAGTATCACACGTGATTTGGAGACTAGACTTCTGTCAATGCAGCCTAAAAAGGCATTTGCCTTTTTGTAGCCACTTCACACTGTCAGCTCCTATTCAGTGTGTGATCTAGAAAAGCTCCAAGATCCTTCTTGCTCATAGTATTGCTGAGCCAGGTATCCCTCATCTTGTAACTGTGTGTATGGTGTCTTTCCCAGGTATCCCTCATCTTGTAACTGTGTGTGTGGTTTCTTTCTCCGAGGTGCAGTACTTTGCACTAATCCCTGTTGAATTTCATTCTGTTGGTTTTCAAACCAGTGCTCAAGACTACCTAGATCTTTTTAAATTTTGTTTCTGTCTTCCAGGGTGTTAGCTATTCCACCCCATTTTGTGTCATCTGCAAAGCTGATAAGCATACATCGTGTCCCCTAAGCCAGGTCATTAAGAAAAATATTGAATAACACCGGGCCCAGGACTGAGCCCTGGGGAACCCCACTTGTTTCCTCTTCTCAGTTTGAGAAGGAGCCATTAATCATCACCCTCTGAGTACAATTCTGTATATCCACCTGACACCTGTCCAGCTCGCATCTAGTTAACTTGCTAATCAGGATATCATGGGGCACTTTGCTGGGGTCAAGATATACAAGAGTGGTCTTAACCAACCAGATAGGCGGGATAAAAATAAAATAAAATAAAATAAAATAAAATAAAATCAATCAATCAATCAATCAATCAATCAATCAATCAATCAATCAATCAATCAATCAATCAATCAATCAATCAATCAATCAATCAATAGATAGATGTCTATAGCACTCCCTCTGTCTGTCAGGGAAGTTACCCAATCAAAAAATGAGATCAGATAAGCCTGGCAGGATTTATTCTTGACAAATCCATGTTGGCTTCTAGTTATTACTACTTTGTTTTCTAGGTGTTTGCATTGTGGCCACTTTATAATCTGTTCTAGAATTTTCTCTGGGATAGATGTCCGGCTGATTGATCTATAGTTCCCAAGTTCCTCCCTTTTGCCCTTTTTGAAGATAGGGACAACATTAGCCCTCCTCCAGTCCTCTAGCACCTTACCCATTTCCCATGATTTCAAGAAAATAATGGACAGTGGTTCTGAGCGTTCTTCAGCCAGTTCCTTCAATACTCTTGGATGCAGTTCATTCAGCTCTGGAGATTTGAACTCATTCAAAGAAATAAGATATTCCTTGACTACTTGTTTATCAATCTCCAGCTATAATCTTGTCCCCTCCACTTGCACTTCACATTTGTCTGGAGGGTAATAGTCTGTCCTTTGGGAAAAGACTGAGCTAAAATAGGAATTGAGCACTTTTGCCTTTTCTTTTTCTGTTATCATTTTTCAATCTCCATTGAGTAGCTGAGCCACTGTTTCTTTTCTTTGTCTTTTGCTGTGCACTCAACCTGAAGAATGCTTTTTTGTTGCTTTTACTCTCTCTAGCTAGCCTCAGCTTACTCTCAGCTTTTGCCCTCCTAATGCCATCCCTGCAATGCCTTGTCTGTACCCTTCTTTTGTAGCCTGGCCTTCCTTCTACTGCCTATATGTGTCCTTTTTTGTTTTCAGGTCCTCTCTGAGCTTTTTGTGAAGCCACACTGACCTTTTTTTGTTGTCCCCTGCCTTTCTTGTTGGAATTGTTTGTAGTTGTGCCTGTAGAATTTCCTTTTTTAGACGCTCAATGGGCTCATTTTCTTGTTAGGATCACCTGCTATGGAGCTGAGCAGTTACTTGGATTCTAGTAAAAGGATGCTGCTGCTACTAGCTATGGGTCAGGGACTGGGGGGGGTTATCATTATCAGCAGCAGTACCCATTGGGAGTGGGCTCAAGCCCCATCAGTGTAAGGTCAAGATAGAGAAGGCCACAGCTGCTACCAGCAGGGATATGCAAAAATGGTGGCTCCCTGACTAGTAAAGATAGGGGGAACATTCGGAGAAGGGACAGTGTTAGATGACCTCACCACAAAGGCAGATGGATATGGTTATAGTTTAAGTGGGTATTTGGTGCTTTATATAGCAAGCGCCTATCAAGAACTGGATGTCAAGATGTCCTTTCTAGCCACCTAGCTTTTACAGCCTATCTTCTCCATTAAAGCCTCCTCTGTGCTTAATGTAATTACTTTGAAAAACAGATAAGAAGACCAGGCCATCAGCTAAATGCTCAATTGAAATGAGAAGATAACACAGAAAAGATCCAGGGACAGGCACAAAGCTTGTGAGTTTTCTTTCATCAAAGCCCCAGGAAGCAAACGTCTCTGTCCTGCTCGGTCTATGGATAGAGCAAAAACTGTATCCACGCTGGATGATCTGGAGCTCTGAATTCTGCATATATATTGCAGTTTTAGGATACAGTGTTTTTTTCACATGCACCATGTGAAAAATGTGCAGGCTCATTTAATACCATATTAATTTGTAATATTGTCCTTAAAAGAAGAGTGCTGAAGCACGGCTGTCCTAAAATGGGGAGGGCGATTTTTGGAGTTATTGGGGTTGCCCATGCCCATCCCTGAACCTTCTGAGTTGACCTCTGCACCCATGACCACCCCTATACTCCACACCAAAATGGATCTTACAGAATGAATGTTTTTAAATGAAAAAAAAACCCTTGTACCCTCTAGTGGCCAATTTAAACAAGAATGAAAAATGAATTTTTCCATTCTGTTGGATTGTTCAGAAAGTTAAGTTAATCACACAGAATAGCCATGCCCTATATTTTGCAAGAATCAGCACATGGCAATTCTAATGGTTAACACCCACTTTAGGAAGTTGGATTAGATGATGACTGACCGTGTCTTTCTGCTTTCATTTTGTCTACACAGGTTCCTAGAAAGCAATTGGTTTCTCTGGATCTCACAGATGAGCCACATCCCAATGAACATTGATTATGACCAGAACTTAGACTGGGTCTCTGCCCAGGTAAGATGCCTCAAACTTCTTATTGTCCATGGAAGTGGGAATACCCATAAAAGTTGCCAAATTCGGGTACTTTGTCTGTAACCATGGAGGAGGCTAAACGGATGGTGAAGACATGGAGATGTAGATAGGGTCCCCTTCTCAGCATCTCCTCCTTTAGAGAAGTCAGTCAGAAGATCTGAAGAAGGGCCTGTAGATTTATTTGGTTGAAAATACTTCCATGATCAGGATACTTGCTTTGTCACGATTCTCAGGCACATGATCTTAGTGAACACACTCAATCAAACATGCTTACGAGCTCCTCTGCATATTATTTTAATCACACAAAACTCTGAGCTGATGTCTGAATGAGGAAGGGGCTTGGGAGGGCAAAGCATATGTGTACACCTCCAAACCCACTACCTATTTAGCTTTCTCCAGGCTGAGAGCTACATTATCCACCCAGAATGCATCACTTAGCAAAGTAATCACTCCTACCTGAAGCTAATTTGGAAATCCAGAATGAAAATGGAAACTAAAATAAAGGTGCCAGCATTAATTTCTGACCGCAGCTTCCGTTGTCACACTTGTTTCATACTGAAACTAATGTGATGCTGATATGGGCATGTGAATTTAATTTTGCATTTGTTTTAGAAACTGAAGCCTATCCTTCACATGGCAAAGGTCAACAGGGCATCCTGCTGGGACCTCAGCATCTTCGTAGCTCTCTTGACCTGAAGTGGCATGCAGAGACCAAATAACAAAAAGGCTGCTGCTTGAAAAGCTAACAGCCATCTTCAGAGATAGATCCTCAGCTACCAACATGCATTGCTGTATATAATCCACATGCAATTGGCTTAGCTTTCCAAATGTTGCTACTTGGTTGTCACCCTGGTTGCAATAAAGATGGACCACTACAGGCCCTGCGGAGGAAAAAACATGCATTAAAGAAGGAATTGCGATACCTTGGAAAGATATATGCAGCCTATGAGAATCAGGGTTATGAAGTCCTGGTGACGATCATGTCAGAAGGTCTTTCCAGAGGCAATCTTGCCTGACACAAGCAGACAAATAAGTTACAGTACTGAAACCTCAAACATCAGTTATGTTGGTTATTGTGGGTTTTTCGGGCTCTTTGGCCGTGTTCTGGAGGTTGTTCTTCCTAACGTTTTGCCAGTCTCTGTGGCCAGCATCTTCAGAGGACAGCAACCTGTGCTCCAGAACACAGCCAAAGAGCCCAAAAAACCCACAACAACCATTAGATCCCGGCCGTGAAAGCCTTCGTGAATATATCAGTTATGTTGTTTCCCTGTACAAGACATATCACTGAAGAAAACAGTCAGCCAGATCGAGGTCAGTCATTACACTCTTAGAAGGAAATTAATTCTAGGTGTCAGATGCAATTACAGTGGTGCCTTGCTTAACAACATTAATTCGTTCCAGCGAAATCGCTGTAGAGCGAAAACGTCGTAAAGCGAAATAAAAAGCCCACTGAAACGCATTGAAAACCGTTCAATGTGTTCCAATGGGTTAAATAACTAACCGTCCAGCGAAGATCCTCCATAGAGGCAGCCATTTTTGCTGCCTGTAAAGGGAGGAATCCGTCCAAAAACACAGCGGGGTGCCATTTTGAGCAGCCGGCGGCCATTTTGAAAACCCGACGATCAGCTGTTTTGATCATTGTAATGCAAAGAATCGGTTCCCGAAGCAGGGAACTGATCATTGGGAAGCAAAAAAAAGCCCATTAAAACATCGTTTTACAATTGCAATTGCGATCGCAAAAACATCGTTGTGAAGTGGATTCGTCGTTATACGGGGTAATCATTAAGCAGGGCATGGCTGTAATTCCCACTGAGAGTTTTTCTTATCATTGTATTGTAAAGAAACTGGCCAGTCGTAATAAATTAGGTTCTACTGTCCCTTAAAATAGTGATCTTTGGTGGTCCATCAGGAAAATAAGAGAGAAAGGTGATAAAGAGTTGCAATTTCTTTTCAGGTCTCTGACCTGCTGAAGAGGGAAGCCAGTTTCTGATTTTAAAAGCAGCTCATTTTGTGAGCAGTGAAAGCAGCTGAACTGGTAACTTCAAAATGCCACTGTGTCCTATTTTCTTCCAGTCACATATAGAAGAGATTTTTAGATGGCACAAATATAGTCGTTTTGATTCAGAAGAAGCTTTCCTAATATCCCTGCTTCTGGTGGCAGTTGTATAGTACGGAAACCCAAAGACAACAATCAAAGGATAACTGTGGTCTGTAATAGAATCAAGGGCTATTGACCAGGAAATAAACTCTGCTGGTTATGAAGCAACATAGTGCAATTTCTTTTTCTCAGCTTGCAGCAACATGTAATGTGGATCAATCGTGGTTCAATGACTGGTACACTGGACACCTGAACTTCCAAATTGAACATCAGTGAGTATGAAACTGGGAAGGATTGTAGAGAATAAGGCACTTGGCATCAATAGGATTGGGAGATGCCTTCCTAGCAATCATGGACCACAGCCATTTTCTTGATCCATATCTGTTCCCTAATAAACCAATGGTGACTGTGGCTAGAAGTCCATTTCACTCATTCTGAACTGTACATGTTCTTTTTTTTCTTTGAAGGAAGGAAGGAAGGAAGAGAGGGAGACAAAGAAAGAAAGAAAGAAAGAAAGAAAGAAAGAAAGAAAGAAAGAAAGAAAGAAAGAAAGAAAGAAAGAAAGAAAGAAAGAAAGAAAGAAAGAAAGAAAGAAAATCCTGAACTGTACATGTTGACTATCACCTTGGGATTCTGCCTAGAGTAGCCAATTAATACATAAACAGAAG